ACTCAATGAGTGCTCAGATATTTTTTTTTTCCATATCAATTTAGGATTGGGGGAACACTACTCAATGAGTATGGCATACACCACACTTCATAGGCAACATACCAAACCCAATTCTATATATTCAGAGAACCTGGTGGAAGCATCATCATAGCACAATAAAGAACATTTATACAGGTATAAGTGTATAACTTATAAGTATAGTGAGTTAGAACTCAGAAGATTTAGCTATTTATACAGTATTTAACTATTTATACTGATACCTGAGCTCAATGGCAGCAACATTTAAAATGTTACCTAGCCATGAGCACTTTCCAGTTTCCAGTTTCCAGTTCCAATTTCCCAGCCTCACTTGGGACATTGATTTGAATCATTGATACACATACATGATACACTGATACAGTCATATAGAGGCATAAATTTATCATGAAATCAAATAAGTAAATAAGTAATCACAAATCAAATAAGTAAATAAGTAAACATACAACAATTGTAGGCATTCCAGTTCCAGTGCTGGATGTGCAGCACAACTCTGCAGTACAAAAACAAAATGGAAATTCAATAAGTAAATTGTAAATAAGTAATCACAAATCAAATAAGTAAATAAGTAAACAGATCATTTGAGTAAACAGTTAGAAGTATATACCTTTCTCTATCCTTTCAACATCTTCAATATTTTCTTCAATTGAGATTGGTTGGTTGCTTAACCTTAGCCAATCCTGTGCACACACCAATGCCTCAACAATTCTAGGAGTTAGGGAACTCCTAAAGGCATCAAGTACCCTTCCACTTGTACTGAAAGCTGATTCTGAAGCAACAGTTGATATTGGAACAGCTAGAATATCCCTTGCCATTTTAGATAAGACAGGGAACCTTTCAGATTGTTGTTTCCACCATCTTAGAAGGTCAAATGAATCATCCTCATCCACAATAACCTCAGAGAGATACACTTCCAACTCAGTTTTTTTCCTAGACAAATCCCCACTCACCAATTTTTGCTTCTTAATCTGAGATTTCAGTAATGATTGAGGTCTCCCAACAGAAACAGAATCAGATATTGTTATTGAGGGAGAAAATTTTTCAGATTGTTCAACAGACTGGACAGGGAAGCATGCAACATAATCTTCAAACAACTCCTTAAGGCCAACAATCACCTTATCAAACATTGTTTTACCCTTTTCCTCACCATATAACTGGTTAAACTGAATGAGCATATACTCAATTTTGTCCCTGGGGTCTAAGATATTTGCATAGAATATCAAAAAATTCATTTTTTCAGGCTCACCCCAATACTTATCAAATTTTGCCCTCATATTTTTACCCATCAGTTTAACACTATCTTCTGTAGCTTCCTCCATATTTTTCAACAAGCAAGACAAATCAGAAATCTCAGAGAAGAAGGTATTAGAAGTCACATACAATGATCCAGAAATCCTAACAGTCATTTCATAAAAAGATTTCAGAATCATAACCAAAGATTGAATGGATTCCCAATCTAAGAAATCAGGTACACTTCCACCCAAATCAGATTTAAATGAACTGTCATGATCATCATAGGCTTCAAATACCTTCTGAAACAGTAATGCAGTATTAAGCATCATATATGTGGAATTCCACCTTGTAGGGACATCTAGACACAGAGAATTTTTTGCTTCCACCCCAATTAGATCAGCTAGTGATTTAAACTTCTGCAACCTAGCAGGTGAGCTCCTCACATACCTAACAGCATCCCTGACTTTCTTAACTGAACTGTCACATTCTTTCAACCCATCCTGTACCACCAAGTTAAGAATGTGAGCAATGCACCTCATGTGCAAATACTTACACCTAACAGAAGTACAACCCCAAGAACCCAACTTCTTCTTCAAGAAACCTAGGGCAGTATCATTGCTGGAAGCATTATCAACTGTCACACTAAACACTGATTTTAGACCCCAGTCCAAAAGGCAACTCTCTAAAGCCTTTGCAATACTTTCCCCCTTGTGGGAATATATAGGAACAAATGAAATAATCTTCTTTTGCAGCTTCCACTCACTATCAATGAAATGTGCAGTTATGCACATGTAGTTTATTCTCTGGACTGAGGTCCAAGTATCAGTTGTGATACTTACCCTCTGACTGCTAGTCCTAAAAAACTTCTTCAAGTTGACCCTCTCATCAGAAAATATCTTGAAAATGTCCCTACTGATAGTCCATCTTGAAGGGATTTTAAACCTAGGACAGCAAACTAAAACAAACTTTCTAAAACCCTGTCCCTCAACAATTCTAAAAGGAAGTTCATCTAAAATAATCATCTCAGCTAAGGCTCTCCTTATCAAGTCCTGATCAAACACCCAAGTACCCAACACCCCTTCAGTTCCTTCACTACTTTGAGTTCCAGCAGAAGAAGGTGCAGGTTGGAATGTGAGTAGGGACTGCCTTGTCTCCTTAGAGTGAGGATTTTTAAGGCAGTTTACCACATGAAGTCTTAGAGATGAAGTCCCATGTTTCTTGCTCTCACAGCAATACACTTTTGCACAATATATACACTTTCCTTTGATGACAATGCCCTCACTGTCTTTGATCTTTTCAAAGTGATCCCAACATGGAGCCCTGGATTCAACCTCTTTCCTTTTCTTTGGAACAGGTGGAGGCAAAGGCTGCTGAGACTGAGGAGTAACAGTCTCTACAACAGGTGCTTCCAACTCAGGTTGGGTTCCAGATACACCAGTAACACCAGTCCCACCACTAACACTTTCCATCTAAAAAGGGGAAAGTATCAGTGACACAGAATGGGAAATCACTCATTCAAAATCATCAACAGAGAATGGGCTTTGTCAATTGGCACATACACACATGTATCAATTAAAGTGTTAAACACTTAAACAGGCAGAATTCAGTGAATTTTACATTTCATCATGTATGCAGAATTGCACATAAATGATTTAAGGGTCACATATCCATAAACTTACAATTTCACAGTTACAACTTACAACAGTTACAAGTATTTACAAGTAAGTAACTAACAACTTACAAATTACAATTTACAATTTACAATGAAATCCATAATCAGGCATTCAAGCTAAGTAGGTGTATGCTACTTTATATGCTCATCATTTATATGGATTTCAGTCACACACTCCCACATTTATATGGCTTCCACCAAAATACCATCATGCTTAACATTTATATGGATTTCAGTCACACACTCACACATGAGTACAAGACAGTGAGACACACTCCCACATTTATATGGCTTCCACAGAAATATCATCATGCTTAACATTTATATGGATTTCAGTCACACACTCACACATGAGTACAAGACAGTGAGACACACTCCCACATTTATATGGCTTCCACAGAAATACCATCATGCTTAACATTTATATGGATTTCAGTCACACACTCACACATGAGTACAAGACAGTGAGACACACTCCCACATTTATATGGCTTCCACAGAAATACCATCATGCTTAACATTTATATGGATTTCAGTCACACACTCACACATGAGTACAAGACAGTGAGACACACTCCCACATTTATATGGCTTCCACAGAATTGACAGAAATACCATCATGCTTAACATTTATATGGATTTCAGTATTTAACACACAATGGCAAGGGGCTAGGGTAGTATGGCTTCCACCACAGATTAGGTTACAAATTAGAAACCCTAATCAAACAATTAACAAATTCACACTCAAAGAACTACTGACATGCAATCCGGAACTTCTCAACGGATTTACAAGTACAGTGAGTCCACAGATTACTGAGATTAGGTTACAAATTAGAAACCCTAATCAAACAATTCACAAATTCAAACTCAAAGGACTAGTGACATGCAATCCGGAACTTCTCAACGGATTTACAAGTACAGTGAGTCCACAGATTACTGAGATTAGGTTACAAATTAGAAACCCTAATCAAACAATTCACAAATTCAAACTCAAAGGACTAGTGACATGCAATCCGGAACTTCTCAACGGATTTACAAGTATCACAGTCCACATAATCATAAAAATTAGAAACCCTAATCAAGAAGACAAATACACAATAATCTATAACGGAAATGTAAATAGGGTTTAGTAATTACTTCGTTTCTCAGATTTAATCCCTCGAGAACAAAGGGCTTCGAATCAACTATTCCACCGTTCCACAGTTCCACCGTTCCACCAGACTCCGGTGACCGGACTAGGGTCTTGGGCTTCCACCGTTCCAACACTCCGCCACTCGCTACTCCGATGCTCCGAAGAGGGCTTCCACCAGACTAACAAACAGAGACTAAGACTCTCAGAGTCTTAGAGAGTAAGACACTAAGAGTCTAAGACTCAAAGTCTCAAACTCTCAAAGACCAGAGCGAAAGAGAGAACGAGAGTGGAGACTGGAGAGATGAGAGAAGTCTAGAAGAGTCAAGAGTGAGAGCACGGCTGCGCTTGCTGGAAATGAGTGATATATATACATACACCAAACGACGTCGTCTTATGTAGCGTAAAAAACCCTAGGCTTTCATCGGGTAGTCGGACGGGTTCGGGTGGCGTTTAATGCCTCCCACCCGAACCCCTTCAGTCCGTCTTCTAGCGTTGCATCGGATCGGGTAAGGGTTTCGGATACGGTTCGCTCCACGGATTGGTCCGTCGGGTTTCGGGTCGGGCGGGTGGGTCGGATTCTTCGGTTTCTGCACAGCCCTATTGTTGGGTCAATTTTGATTTGTACATAGAATACTTTCAGGGTTTTGACTGGATTTTATATTTAAATTTGTAGAAAGTATGATGTAATGGGTTGTGTATTTAATTTAGATTTTGTATGTATGTATATTTAATTCGGATTATACATATATATACACTATTTAAAAATAGATTTTGATATAAAATATGTTTATTTAAATTTTAATATGTATGAAAAAAAATAGTATTATACATCTTTTTCAGTAAGAAAAAAAAATAAAAGCAAGTTACATTGCATACGATATATTATTAATAAAAGTAGCATCAGGATGATATAGTTTTGGTTAACATTTAGAGAAAGATGATATATTTACCAGTATATCAACAAATCTATTATATGAAAATGCCAACTATAACTATAGTACATCTAGAATGTATCTAGATGTATATACATAGCATATCTTCTTTTAGAGATTTTTTTTTTTTTTAATCTCACAGCATGTTACCTAAATTAATAAAATTGTCTATTCAAAATCAAAGTAGGCATCAACTTAGGTTAAATAACTTAGAAAAAAAACTTATACAGTTTAGATAAATCAAAGCAGGCATCACAATTTTTAAAAATTTAAGAATCAATGGTAGGCATCAACTTAAGTAGTAATTTGAAGAGATTTGAAGACTAATAAATCCAAGCAGGCATGAGAAACTTTAAAAAAAAAAAAAAAAAAAAAAAAAAAAAAAAAAACTTAAAAAATCAATAGTACGCATCAATTTAGGTAAAAACAACTTTAAAAAAAATACAGTGTAAAGTTATATTAAATGAAAAGTCAAAATATTAGGTTACAGTCACTATCAGTTCAAAAAGGTTTTCACTTTTAAGGCTAAAGATGATTAAATTAATATTTTATATACTTCAAAAATTGATTTTTAATCATAAAAGTTTAGAAATAATGGTCTAATTACTTATGTTATATGGACTATAGTTTTAAATTTTCTTTTATAATATATATATACCATAATGTACTTTTATTATGGCAATAATGTAAATTTATGTATATTGAGTTGGATGACACAATGTTGTTGGGTCAATTTTGATTTGTACATAGAATACTTTCAGAATTTTGTCTGGGTTTCATATTTAAACGCAAATTATGCTATGCAACCGAATGCACCATGCACATGGTGCATACGATGCAAAACGACGTCGTTTTGGTTAAAAAACGCGCGTCCCACTTAAAAAAGAAATCATGTTCGATTCCCGACAATAGCATTTTTATATATCCATAAATTCATAACTATATATCCACAAATTCATAACTATATATCCACAGTGAATGAATGAAGTAAAAATCCACAATGAATGAATTAAATATCCCCAATGAATGAACTAAATATCCACAATGATTGAACTAAATATCCACAACGAATGAACTAAATATCCATAAACTCATAACTATATATCCAGAAATTCATAACTATATATCCATAAATTCATAACTATATATCCACAGTGAATGAATGAAGTAAATATCTACAATGAATGAACTAAATATCCACAATGAATGAACTAAATATCCATAAATTCATAACTATATATCCAAAAATTCATAATTATATATCCAGAAATTCATAACTATATAACTACAATAATGCTATTGCCGAGAATCGAACCTGAATTTTTTTTTTTTTTAAGTGGGACGCGCGTTTTTAGTCAAAACGACGTCGTTTTGCATCGTATGCACCATACGCATGGTGCATTTGGTTGCACAGCATAACTATTGATATTTAAATTGGCAGAAAGTATGATGTAATGGGTTTTGTATTTGATTTATATTTTGTATGTATGTATATTTCATTCGGATTATACATATATATACACTATTTTAAAATAGATTTTGATATAAAATATGTTTATTTAAATTTTAATATGTATGAAAAAAATAAAAGCAAGTTACATTGCATACGATATATTATTAATAAAAGTAGCATCAGAATAATATACCTTCATATTTTAAAAATAAAAATAATTTTATATTTTTTAACCCATAAACATGCGAAAATTATATTTTTAAAAATGGAACAAAAATTAATATTTGCATTTTAATTAAAAATGGAACAAAAATTAAAAATTAGACGAAAATATTTCAATAATAATATTCTACATCATTAATGTAAATGCATGTTTTAATTATTTTTAAACAATATATATAAAGGTAAATTATAAATATAACGAAAATATTTTAATAAAAATATTATACATCTTATTATATTATACTGAATATAATATAAATTATATATATAATCGTGCATCGCACGGGTGCAACTACATGTATATATACTATATATATGTTGTGTGTGTGTTGATTCCGCACACACAAACAACGAACATGGCGACATCCATATCATCAACAAACACCAAAATTTTTACCGTGTTTAATCAATGTCGGCAGAGTGAAAAACATTTGACAGTCCCAATTAACAAACCCACAATTAATTAAACTTTATATTTAAAAATCTCCAAATATCATGAACTCAAATTTTAATGCGTAATCAATTTACAAGCATACCAAATGTTAATAAAACTTTTATGCGCTATAACTTAATGTGGAAGCACAATTAACAATGAATCGCATTTATTCAAATTAATTAACTAAACAATGGTCATGATTATAGATTTTTAACTAAACATAAATAAATACAAAACTTACTTATCAATTGATGCTTCTCTCTTATATGTATGCCTTACTCACCTATATAGAGACTAGAAAACTTATTGATCATCCCTAGAGTTTTCCTGTGTATTTATAAATTATAGATGTGATGAGGAATGGAAAACTTCCTTTTAGGAATAGAAATTCCTTTAAGAATATGAAACCTCTTTTTAAGAAACCCACAACATTTTTCATTATACATTTTTTAAACCTTATAAACTTAAATTTTAACCGGATGAGATGGAGAGAATTTCACCCAATAATTCTGCATTTACACATCACTAATCATCGGCAAATTATGTTGTGCAATCGTGTGCACCATATTGGATCCATAATTTCTATACTATGATTCATAATTATTGAACTCTATATTCACAATTACAAAACTCTATGTTCATATTCTCAATTATATTGTTGAACTCTGTATTCACAAATCACTGAAATATATGTTCATAATTTGATAACTATACAGTTTAGAAATTATGAATCTATAGTATAAAAATTATGGATCTATAGTATAGAAATTATGGATCCAATTCTGTGTGCACCTTGCATGGTGCACATGGTTGCACAGCATAACGCTCCACTAATCATCACGGTGAGTACCTTATGGAATTATAACATTTAATCAATATTAGGAAATAATTATTTCTAACAATTTATAGCTAGAAAGGAAAATGTTATTTATCCCTCTTAAATTTCTCCTAATATTTTCCTCCCATGATGTAACTTATATTTATTGGGGTGCCATGAATTAGTTGATCCCACGTACTTTTAATTAAATATTAAATAATCTAATTAGATATTGCTAGATCGAGAAAATTAGGAGGGATGCCTAGCATTACTCTTGTTTGGAAACCTGGAAAATGAGTTCTGGAAATCATTTTCCAAGTTTCCATTGTTTGGATGTGCCTGGAAAATCAAGTCAACGGAAATCATTTTCCGTTGACTTTGGAAAATAGGCTTGTTTTAGAGGAAAATGACTTCCCCTTTTTTTGGGGGAAGTCATTTTCCAACTTTTACACCAACATCACACCACCACCAACACCATACCACCACCACCTCACTACCACCATCACCACCACTACTGCTGCCGCCACCACCACTATACCACCGCAACCACCGCCACCACACTACCACCACTACCACCACCAACACCATACCACCGCAACCACTACCACCACCAACACCATCAACACCATACCACCATCACCACCACCACCGTTGCCACCACCACCATACCACCGCCATCACACCACCACCACCGCCGCCGACACCACCACCACCATACCACCGCAATCACCGTCGTCGCCGCCACCGCCACCACTACCACCACCGCCGCCACTGCTGCCACCACCACCGTCACCGCCACCACCACCACTATACCACCGCCGCCGCTACCACCACCATACCACCGCTACCACCGCCGCCACCACCACCACCATCACACCACCGCCGCCGCCGCCACCACCACCATACCACCGCAATCACCGTCGCCGCCACCACCACCACCGTCACCGCCACCACCACCATCATACCACCGCCGCCGCTACCACCACCATACCACCACCGCACCACCACCACCACCATCACACCGCCGTCGCCGCCATCACCACGACCATACCACCACCATGACCATACCACCGCCGCCACCACCACCACCATACCACCGCAACCACCGCCACCGCCACCGCCACCACCACCATACCACCGCAACCACTGTCACCGTCACCACCACCACCACCACCATACCACCATCACCGCCACCACTGTCATACCACCACCAGTTGTTGTTGTTATTATTATTATTATTATTATTATTATTATTATTATTATTATTATTATTATTATTATTATTATTATTATTATTTTTATTATTATATCACCACTACCACTACATCACCACCACCACCATAATATTTTTGATATATTATTATTTATTTTTTATTATATTTAAAATTATTATTATATTATTATATATTATTATTCATATTGTAATATTCTAAATAAAATAATTAAAATGTTTAATTATACAATTCTACTCATTTTCCAGAAAATGAACCAAACACACAAAAACAGTTTTCCAGAGTGCAACCAAACACTGGAAAGGAAAATATTTTCCGGAAAATGACTCATTTTCCAGAAAACATTTTCCAGAAGTCATTTTCCTGCTTTCCAAACAGACCCAGGGATTAAGCTGGTATGTTGCTCCATCGGGGATGTTGTAGTAATTTCTCCTTAATCCTAACTTTGATATGGATAAAAAGTTTTATACACAATAATTACAAGTCTTATACACAATAAACTATAAACTTGAGCCATCGCTGATTTATATCGATATATGCTCACTTCTACTCCTTAAGTGTCAGCATCTAAAGACCACTAAGGTTGTTTGGGTCATGACCCTCAGGCTAGAACTTCTTCATATATATTTGCAAGTGCAGCCTTCATCCTTAGCTTTGTCCTCAAGTTGTCCTCCTTGAGTCTCTTCAGATGCTCTTTGGTATTTACCAGTCACTTGTGCAAGTGCAACTGGCGAGCAGTCACCGATCACCTTTATGATTGAAGAAGGCAATCGACACCAATTGTCGAATTTAGTCAGAATTCTATTGTTTTGTTGTGCAGAAATAACATATTGATGTATTTAATTATAATTTTTAAAATTCAAGATCTATTTAACTTTTTCCCTTTCATTTTTGAATTTTGAAGACTATATATGTACAAGCAAAACAACAGAGGACGAAAATCACTATAGGCTAAAAATACAATTTTTCCAATTAAGATATTTACTGCATCCTGGGAAGAGGTGAAGCCATGAAGTTTCCCAACACCACCATCAGGCTGCAATATTATCTGTCACAAATACAACTTAAAAGGTGGACCATGATGCACAAGTTCTCAGAGACATAAACTAAAATGTGTAGATTTAAGGAGATAAAGACAATTTTGTGTAATTTTGTAAACCAAGACAATTTTGTTTCATAAAACGGCAATGTCATTGCCTTCTTTTACTTTTTTCTTTAAAAACAAAAACTTTTGAGAAGAAGGCAATGGCACTCTCAATTTTTTTTTTAATTGGGAAAAACACAATGCCATTGCGCCATTGCCTTCTTCTCACTCTCAATTTTCATTTTTATTTTTTATTAAATATTAAGTAATATCATAAAAAAATATTTTTTATTTGAGAAAATTACATATATTTCATTTCGTTCTTAAGTTATAGGATAATTGTAGAATTCATCTCTATTTATTGATCGTGCTCACTTCTTGTTCTTAAACTATAATTGACGTTGCAAATCTCATTATTTTTCTAACAGGTCATGCTCACGTTACGTCCCTAAGCTATGTAACCGACCAAATTTAAAAATAAAAATGAATAATATCACATATTTTTTTCTCTAGACATCCATCAAATTGGTCCCATTATCCACGGATAATACGTGTCGTCACACCCGACCACTTGTGTGTGTTGAGCAATATAACTATTAATGTGCAATCCAACTATTAGCTTAGGCTTTTAGTTGAGATGGAGCACATGGTTCAATTTGGTATCAGAGCCACGGTCCACGGCGGAAGGCGGTAGTATGAAAATTCGAATCACTCGCATGAAGACTAGGGTCTAACCAGTGGACGGATTGCACGACGGGCTCTAAGAGCGAGGTCCTGTGAGCTTAGAATTAGTCCGGTGAAGCTGATATCATCTAATTAAGTATTAAAAAATAGTACTGATTTATGGTAAGCATTTATGAGTAAACCTCTTAAATACCAAATAAAACTTTAAAATGCTGATAAGCGACTACGGTCGATCCAACTATTAGTTTAGGTTTTTAGTTGAGATAATCATATACTTTCTCAACCTATTGAAACACAAAGAACCAATAACGCCTCCACTGAGGCTCAAACTCATAATTTTCCAAATGGAAGTCCAACCCGAGTACCATTAGACCACATAGTCCTAGTAAGAACAATTATAACTTAAATACACAAAACCAAACATATTATAACTAACCTTGCCCCATGGTTATAATTGCTCTTTATTACTTATCATGGTTATTTGAAACGTATGAGGTTTTGTCCACACGAGTGGCTGGCTGTGACGCACATATTATCCGTGGATATAGAGACCAATTTGATCGATGTCTAGAGAGAAAAATATGTTATATTTTAAAATCGATCGGTTATATTTATATTATCCGTCGATTACAAAAATTAAAAAATAGTTGTCAGTTATTCAGTTATCGATCAGTTATTAACCATAACCATTGATACTATAATTTTATAAATTAATTTTATTTTTATATTTAAACTATTTTATTACTCCGTATAAATATACTAAATATTATCACGAGAGTGTGCCCATTGACATTCCAAACGAAGAATAACAAATACATGCAGACCATTTAATTTATATCAAAAGGCCTGAATAGTCGAGTCGTAGTACCAATTTTGAAAGCGCCGGAAGATGCTCCAAATACTGTTAGTTTTGATCATGAAATGCAACCTATGCATTTCAATTTTGAACAAATCCATTAAAAGCATGGTGACCAACCACCAGGACGGAGAGACAAAACTCCAATGCGAGACGTAAACATTAGCTATTATCATACCGATCTTTTCTTTCGCCAAGGCTACATCGGGCAGGAAGAATTTACTCTTTGATATAACTCAACTAAAAGTGTTTTAAAAGTTGGTATAGCTTGAAGACGAGAAGTGAACACGACCAACAAATAAAAATAATTATATAATTATCATATAATTTAGGAACAAAATATGTAATTTCCAAATAAAAAATATATATTTTTTCTGATATTATTTTAACCACTTTACGTTTACACGTCGATATCCAACTATAAATCCAATTAGAAAACTGGATCCAAAACCTATAAGAACACTCTGCCAAGAAAATCCATGGAGGAATCCTGAATCCTCCTCTTCTGCTGTTCCCGTTTCCGCTACTCTTCCATCTTCTTCTCCTCCTTCACACTGCACTCTCATTGGGAATCCGCATAGCCCTTTGTTTCCCAAATACGAGTCGTTTCCGAATGTATTAAACTGTCCGCTGCGCGGTATCTTTCCAAGAAGATGATTGTAAGAGAGGTTCAAAACTCCAAGAAACGTGAGCCTCGACATTTTCCCAGGAATCTCCCCACTCAATTGGTTCCAAGACAGGTCCAACGATTCAAGCAGAGCAAGATCAGCAATGGTGGGTGGAATGTTACCGGTTAGTTGGTTATGAGACAGGTTGAGCAGGCGAAGAGAATCCAACCCGCCTATGAATATGATACTAGGAATCTTTCCTTGGAACATGTTGCTTGATAAATCAATGGTGGTGTAAAGATTCAGAATCCTTTTCACCGAAATCTCCTGTCGTTTCACCACCAAAGTCACAGAGGTCTCGTATGAATAAGCTGAATTTCCAGGGTATGTTGCTGATAAGCCTTTTGTGACACCATTTGCAATGGCAGTAAAATGCTGCAAATAATATGTTGGCAAAGGGCCACTCAAATCATTGCTGGAGAGATCGAAAATTCGTAACATGGGGAATGTATATGGAGTAGAGTTGCCAATTATGGGTCCCTGGAAATGATTTGATCTCAAGACCAGAACTATCAGGTTTGGAAGAGAATCCAACCAGGTGGGGAATGAATCACTTAGGTTGTTGTTTCCAACATCTAGGATTTCTAGCATCTTACAGTTTATGAGAGTACGAGGTAAAGGCCCTTCCAATTGGTTCTGGTTTAACTGGAGTGTCTGCAAAACATTATTCCCCTCTGCAATTTGTCCAGGAATGTGTCCATGAAGCCGATTCGTCCCAAGATTTAGTACTGAAAGCTTTGAGCTTAGATTCCCCAGGCATGGTGGGATTGCGCCGCTCAAAGAGTTTTGAGAGAGATCAAGAATTTCGACAAGGACTAACCTGCAAAACTCCTCATGAATACCTCCTTTGAACCGGTTCACTGCAAGATTCAAATATGTCAAATGGTTTAAGTTGCCAATGCAATTCGGGATTCCCCCGCTGAAGCTGTTGTTCGAAAGGTCTAGAAACCCGAGGCGTCGGGCACTGCAAAGGGTTGCCGGAATATCGCCCTGAAAGCGATTATTCCCGAGATCCAGTGCATGCAATTCACTGCTAAAGTATCCCAAACATTCTGGGAACACTCCTTCCAGGTTGTTGCTGTGCAAAGAAAGAGTTTGGAGCAAGGTGGCATTGCAAATCATTGATAAATCCTTAGGCCCTTGAAGCATGTTGGAGCCTAGGGAGAGAGAAGCCAGTGATGTTAAGTATCCTATTCCCCATGGTATTGTTCCATTAAGATTGTTGAAGGAAAGCTCCAGCTGAGAAAGCTCTGTCAAATTTCCAATGCTTGGAGGTATTGGACCAGAGAGGTGGTTTTCTGACAGGTCAAGATTATATAAGTTCCTCAAATTTCCAATCTTGGACGGGATCGAGCCCGAAAGATTGTTTCTGTTCAGCAGAAGGAAATTAAGTTTGGTGAGCAAACCAATTTCAGAGGGAATGCTACCTCTAAATGAATTGTTCTGAAGCTGCAATTCAATTAACTGTGTCCAGTTAGCAATGAGATGTGGGGATAGTTCTCCCGAAAGCTCGTTATCAGACAAACGCAACGCGACTAGCTCGGATAACTTGGACAAAGTGGAAGGGATCTCACTAGCTAAGGAGTTATGGTCCAGATACAAGTACTCAAGCTTTGTGCATAGCCCGAGTTCATAAGGAATCCCGGAATTAAGTTGATTCTTTGATAGGTCTAGGCTGTGAAGATCTTTTAAATGGCCTATAGAAGATGGGATATTTCCATGAAATGAATTCTCATGGAGCTGGAGTACCTGAAGGCTTTCCATGGATCCAATTTCAACAGGAATCTGGGACGAAAGATTGTTCTGTCCGAGGCGAAGGTCTTTCAAGTTGGACAGCTTGGTGAGACTCATAGGGAAAGCACCCCAGAACGAGTTTCCGGTGAGGTTAAGATACTCCAGTTTTTCCAGAATGGAGAATACAGATTCCGGGATTTGGGCAGTGAAACTATTCTGTGACAGATCAAGGTAAACTAGATTCGGGCAACCTGAAATGAAAGACAGTGGGAACTCTACAGTGAGATCATTGTTACTAAGCTGAAGATGTGTCAATAAGGGCATGCCCCGGAACTTATCCCAGTCCGGACTAACCAGGAAATTATCCCGGAGCTCCAACACAAGCAGCTTCTGAAGATTACTGATTTGAAATGGAATAGCAGAATTCAGGGAATTGGCATTGAGGTTCAGGTAACGAAGCTCCATCAACTCCCCAATCTCAACGGGGATCGCCCCCGTGAACATGTTACTGCTCAAATCAAGAACCGAGAGCTTAAGGAGGCTGCCAACAGCAGAAGGTATCGGCCCCGTGAAATAGTTCTTGCTTAGATCGAGGCGGGTAAGATTAGACAGGGCGGCTAAATCGAGCCCAACAAGCGTACCTGCAATGCTTCCCCCGGGCAGATTAAGCTGAGAGATGGTTCCAGCAAAGTTGCAGATAATGCCCTCCCAACTGCAGATCCTTTGGTGGGTGTTCATGGACCAGGAATCCAGGATGGAAGTAGAGAGGGTGTTCTTCCAAGAAACAAGTGCTTCTGCTGCTCTCTGGTTTGCATGCTGTGTAGTCTGGCGTAGAAGTAAAGCATAAATAAAGATGTGGATGAGAAGATGAAGAATTGAGGTTGTCATTCTGAGATTTGGTTGTGTAATTCTTACAGGAAAATTGGGATTTAATCATGAATGAGTGTTATAGGTAAGAAAACAGATGAAAATGTTGACTAGTTCTCTGAATATAAGCTGCTGCTGCATCCAAGAGTCCAAGTCTCCTTTGACAACTTGGGGAATTGTCCACAGCATATGTATGCAATTGTGGATGAATTGATAAAGACATACTTATATGCACACCTATGATGCATAATTACTAGAATTCTAAGAAAAGTAATACATTGTTCCCAAAAGGTTGAATCACCAACTCGAAGGGTAAGATATAGCATCTGAGGGGATGTAAATCAGCGTACAAGAAGCCCCCTCACTTTGATAGGTTGTTCCTAAACATTACAATTTTCCTCCTAAGTAATCTTCAGCCACTACTATCATTATATTTTGATTTAAAAGTATACATTTTTCATCAAAAGTAACAACCAATCAATTTATAATAGTATTACACTTTTTATCATAAGTAATTATTTCACACCTAAATATTACATTTTGATTTTAAAGTATTATCTTTTCTCTTATAAATAACAAATAATTTATTCATTATTAGTCTTACATTTTTCGGCATAAGTATTATATTTTCATAACACGGAGATCTCACAGAAGACTCACTCTTTAAAATTTATCATTCCACTATTTAATAAAAATGTCTAACATGTAATTTAAAATTTAATTAAAAGAGTTAACGAGAGAGAGAGAGAGAGAGAAATTGCATGTTGGGGAAGGAAGTTTGAATGATGAACTTACATGTTCAAAAAAAAAAAACTTACATGTTAGCCATCTTTATGAAATAGTGGAATGAAAAAATTTAAATGAAAGACAAATGACTATCTATTTTAATGGTGTGGGTCCTTAGGGTTGGAGAGTCAACCTTTTAGGGTAGAATTTGGTCTATTTTCCAAAGAAAAATGGCATCATTAATTGATCGGAGCAATGTATTAGTTCAATCGTTATGTTGTGGAACTGTGTCCACCTTGCAAGGTGGACACGGTTCTATCTTCATTATTATTGAACTGTATGTTCATAATTATAAAGTTATATATTCATAATTTTTGAACTTCATATTCATAATTATTTAACTTTATATTTACAATTACACAACTCTATGTTCATAATTACTGAACTATATGTTCTTAATTGTGTTCACAATTCTATGTTCATAATTATAGAACTATATGTTCATAATTTTTGAACTATATATTCATAAGAGTTAATACCTCCAATAGTCTTTTGAGTATTAGCGATTTATCAGCTATGGTCATTCGAGTTTTAAATGACCTCCAATGGTCCTCCGTGTTTTAAAAAATAACCACTCGTGGTCATTTTAAACTCGAATTTTTTTAAGAATTAGGACAACTGGTGATTACTTTTTAAAACATGAAAGACCATTAGATGTCGTTTAAAACTCAGATGACCACAGCTGGTAAATCGCTAATACTCAAAGGACTATTAGAGGTATTAACTCTATTCATAATTATGAACAATTTTAAAAATATATCCACCTTGCAAGGTGGACACGGTTCCACAGCATAATTTGCCTGCATTAGTTAGATCAAGTTATTTCGTTTGTAGATACTTTTCCTCACTTTATTACTCTGTATTATTAATTATTGCATGCATAGATTGAATTCAAAGTTGAGTAATCGTTGATGTTGATCGCCAAGCTTTCGTTGTCGCACATGCAGTGTTGTTATATGAATTGCTCAATTAGAATTAGGATGTAAACGCGGCGGGGCAGTATACTTCCTTTTCCGAAATCCCATCTTTGTTCCCGTCTCCATCCCTGTCGAGGATGAGAAATCTTTTTCATCTCCGTAGGAAATTTTCGACAAACTTTAATTAAAATAGTTTTTTTTTTTTAAATAGCCAAACTAGTATAATTCACAATATTTACGTAAAATTTTGATATTAGAATAGTTAAATCTTCATTTATTCTCAATAACAATCAAAATGTCAAATATATATTATTATTTAAATAGTTTTCATACAATATATTTTTGAAAGCCACCAATGAAGGTGATTATATTATAGATAGGCTGAAATAAAATCTGGTGGGACAGCGTCCCAGTACATCGTATGAGTCTGAGTAAAAGCATGTGCTACCAAAGAGTGCGCGATAAGATTATCTAATCTAGGAATGTAAATAACAGAACATAAATTAAAAGATGACAAAATAGTCATGCATCCATCAATAATATAGCCAATATATGTTCGCATCCGTGTGGCTTGTGTTGTCAAGTGATGTTGTAGAATACGGCAATCCGTATGTAGTTGTACCGTTAGCAAACCCTTCTCCTTCAGCCATGATAGAGCCTCTTTACACGCCAACGCTTTTGCCATCAACGGGGATAGACAATAAGGTAGTCTCGTATTGAAACATGCAATAAACTCCCCTTCGTTTGAGACTAGAGCTGCTCCTGCCGTTGCCGCGCCGTCCGATGCATGAAAGCCTGCGTCGATGTACAGCTTTGGCAGCCCATCTCCGGCCGAGAGAGCAGATGGTGCATGAGGCACCGTGGGGTGCGGTCCGTGTACTGTGTTCCACGACTGCCACGCCGCATTTGCCGCACTCACCATTCTTTTTGGTAACGGTAGAGTATGATCTCGCCCGCCATATATAATAGAGAATCGCTGCTGCCATAGTAAATTGATCATTGGTAAGTTCCTTCATAATTTCAAGAAACCAAGTCTCAAAAGAATCAGCCATAATATGCATAATAGGCAATGTAGATTCCCGCCATACTGCTTGTGAAAATTCACAAGACACTAAAGCATGCATTGTACATTCGGGGTAATTCGTGCACATTACACATGTTGGGTCAACTTCTACTCTCTTCATGATAAGATTAATTGTGGTGGGGAGAACACCACTCAAAGCTTTCCACAGAAATAATTTCCATTTAGGAGGTACTTTCAATTTCCACATACGCAGCCAGGCATTAAAATCCCCGTTCGTGTGTTCATAATTTCCAACAACAAGTCTGTATCCCCTTTTACTGTATAGTTTCCATTGGGGTCCCCCTGCCAATACCACATATCAGGATAATCCGGGCACACTGGTATTCTGCTAATTCGTTCCACATCATCCTCCATAAATAAGTCCCTGAGTATATGTGGATCCCAGGTTCCAGTATCTTGATCAATCAAACCCACTACTTTTGAACCTGCTAATTCCTGGGGCATATCAGTTTGAATCATAGGATCTGGGCCATCAGGTAGCCATGGGTGTCCCCATATTAAAGTATTCTTACCATCCCCTATCCTCCTCCTTATCCCACCACAAACCAAGCTATGAGCTGCAAAAATACTCCGCCAGCAAAAGCTAGGATTATTCCCCAAAACTGCCTCATCAAATGATGTCCTCGGGTAGTATTTTGCCTTATACACTCTTGCTACCAAGGACTCAGGTTTAACCAGAAATCTCCATCCCTGTTTACCCAACATTGCTAAATTAAAAGCTCGTAGGTCTTTGAAACCCAGACCTCCATATTTCTTCGGGACACACAACTTGTCCCAAGCTTTCCAGTGAATACGGCGGTCCCCCCCAGATCCCCACCAATACTTATTCATTGCTCTTTGAATTGCTTGGCATACTGCTTCAGGTAGCAGAAAACACTCATAGAAAAGGTAGGCATTGATTGTGCTACACTTTTCAAAAGTACCTCCTTTCCAGCCTGGGATAACAGCCTTTTATTCCATGTGCCTATCCTCTGTTTTATTTTGTCCTCAATATATGAGAACACCGCCATCTTCCTCCGCCTAATAAACGAAGGCAGGCCCAAATACTTGCTAAAATCTGTTGCTTTCGGAACACCCAAAAGCTGCGCCACTTGATCCCTGCAATCCTCCGTTGTATTTTTACTAAAACACACACTGGATTTATGGTAGTTTACTGCCTGTCCAGGCAAGGCCTCATATTCAATCAAACATCTCTTTACCTCCCCGGCTTCCGCAACATTTGCTTTAAAGAAAAGCAAGCTGTCATCTGCAAAAAACAAATGAGATATTGGCGGTGCTCCCCTGGCTACTCTGCATCCATGTATTTTCCCACACTGTTGTGCCTGTTGCAAAAGCGACAGAGGATCTCCCTGTCTCAAACCTCTTGTGGGTATCACCTGTCCCGCTGAGAAACCATTTACCAAAAATTCGTATGAAACCGTAGTGACACAATACATTATCAACTCAATCCATCTGCCACTAAATCCCAGGGCTGTTAACATCTGCTTCAAAAAAGTCCACTCCATCCGATCATACGCCTTAGCCATATCTAGCTTCAAGGCTCCCCACCCTGCCACACCACACTGCTTCCTATTCAGATAGTGGCCTACCTCTGCAGTTTTCATACAATATATAAAACATCCAATATCCAAATACAACACAACCTTTATTAATATTAGGCTCAAGTGCCAAATCGCACCATGAACCAATTGCGATATGTCATACAGCACCCTGATCTTTCATAAGTGATGATTTGATGCACAAACTAAAAAAATTTGTCCGTTTAGCCTTTTTTACAGGTAACCTTCAGGTTATAGGTAATAACTTGATGATTTGGCAGTGACGTGTTTTGTTTTATACATGTGGCAGCCATTTCAGCAGTTTAATTGAATAACCCAAAATATGAGTTTCCAACCATTCATTTGCGTCTGAAGATGAAGGCCGGAGGAGAAGTCCAACCGCGCCACTGCCGAGTTCCGCCACCGCCGGAAGTTGCCAGCCTGCTCTGCTTCCAGCTGCCGCCGTCGACGAGGAGAGGAACCATGGAGTCGAGCATCCCGCCACCACCTCCGATCTACTCTGCTTGATGCCACCGCAACTGGTTGCCGCTGTTGCCTTCCACCCAGACTGTCGACCTGCTACTTCTTCTACTCTTGCTACGCTGGAGTGTTGGAGGAAAGGACATCAGAATCTTGAAGCTAGAACAATAAAATAATATTCTGAATTTTCTTCTTATTCTTCTTTCTTTAAAATTTAAAAAAAAAAAAAAATGCAGCAGTGGTGATTTGAATTGCAAACACAGAAAATATAAGAGGTTGAATTGCAACACTTAGCCATATCCACCACATGTTTGCTGCCATAAAATATTAATGCATTTAATCCCACAGTTTATGATATTAAGTGACATACAAAAGATTCCGTTTTCTAGTTCCAATATTCAAAGGATGTCAAAAAGGAAAAAAAGATGGGGAAATGAAATGGCAAAGGAGAACAAGCGGTGGTGAGAGTGGAGAGAAATCAGAGAATACTTAGCTTAGGTCTGTGTTTCGTTGGCACAAAAGAGAAGCCAATGCCGCCATGGCTGCGAACAATCGGGGTACAGATCAGAGTCGCCCCGCCAAGATACGGGCTCAGTCCATCTCAATCGCAAACGTACAAACAAGCTACTTCCTTAATTTTCCAGTAATCACAGAAATTAAAGCATAATATCCAAGAAAAATACAAGGAATTCAGAACCAAGCATGCCTTGAGATACGAAACATCTAATTTCATGCTCTTTTGTTTTCTTGCATTTTCTCCAATTTGGGAGAAGAATGAAAGGGTTGTTGATTCCTTTTTGGCGAAAATTGAGAAATCATTGGCAAATCAGAGAGTGGCAACCACCCTTTCAAGAAATCTCATCTCTCTGTTACCCTCATTATTCCTTTCTATACTTCTTAGGTTTGAACTAAAGTCTGGGTGGTGGAAAAAATTGTCCAGATCTGTGGTCGTAAAACCCCCATGATAGCTTGTCTTTGGCATAGTTTGTTGGTCGCGATGTTGAACCTGAAGCTCTGGTAAGCCGACGGCAAGGATGGATAGAAGACGGCTAATAAGTTTATTTGACCAAGTAAAAGCTGAAGAGAAAAACAAGTCCACATCAGCGATTACCGGTGTCATGTCATTAAGGCAACAGGGAAACCCGTAAAAAAGACTAGATGGACAAAAAATTTTAGTTTATGCATCGAATTATCACTTATGAAAGATCAATGTGCGGCATGACATATCGCAATTGGTTCATGGTGCAATTTGACACTTGAGCCTTAATATTAATATGAGTTGATGTCATATGTGGTCCTCCGAGTATAGTGATTTTGCGATATTTAGTCCTAAGCTTTCAAATTAATCACCCATTCACCCTTGATCATTTGACTTTCAAATGTTACCATCCGTGGTCTAAGTTAACCACCCATGGTCCTTCAACCGTTCAACGGATGGTAACAATTTGAGAATCAAAGGACTACGAGTGATCAATTTAAAAGTTTAAAACTAAACGTAACAAAATCACTATACTCGAAAGATCCTCAATTGTATTAACTCTAATAATAATAATAATAATAATAATAATAATAATATTATTATTATTATTATTATTATTATTATTATTATTATTATTATTATTACTTAAAAAATCGGGAATGGGAAGGGGAAGGGTATCGCCATCCCCGTCCCCGTCCATGTTAGGACATGAATCTGGAATCCCCAAGAAGAATGAAGAAAATTGACATCCCTACCTAGAATTGTATAAAAATGAGATCATGTTTTGTTCTGAGTGGACTTAATTGATTTCAATTAGACAATTACTTAGTCAAATTTCATCAACTTCTAATCGTCTAATTCACTTTTTTTTGTCCTAGACTAGTACTTGCATATATTGTTGATGTTGTACTTTTCTCATATATATTTCACACCATTTCAAGACAATACTACTGTGCCAAGTTTTTTATTCAAAATCTGGATCATCTTAAGTGGCTTAATTTCATTACTTAAATATGAACTTGTCAAAATTAAACTTGTGTTTATATATATATATATATATATATATATATATATATATATATATATATATATGATTTGTATCAAATAAGAACTTGCTCGCAAGAGAGAATTATACCCAACTTGAGCTCGGCTCGTTTACACCCCTAGTTGAGTGTTTACTAGAATGACATGGAAACACAACTACTTGGCATATCTTTCTCCATAAATTATTCAAAATGCCGATCAACGTTTTAATGTTAAAAGTATTTTTTTTTACCATTTGAAGGCAAAACATACCTCACTTGCGCTGTGTATGCAGATGTGAAAATACAGAGATAAGAGCAATAGTGCAACTATGGACTACTCATGACAATCAAGGACAGGCCATCTTTTTCTAGAATATGTATTAGCATAAAAATCAAAAGATACATGATATCAAGAAACATCACTACCATTAGCCCTTAAGGACAAGCCATCTTTGTTGTCGCACCTTTTCCAAGTGTTAGTTCTCTCTGACAATGTGTATCTAGGAAAGTAGAGATACAATACCTTTGTCACCTGATAGCCAAAAAACGGATGTAGAACATCTTAAAGCCAATGGTTTTGCAGAAGTATGTGCATTTGGTTACTCGTTTAAGGACTTGTGAAATGCAACCTGCACAAGAAAACGAATTACTATCGAACCATACATGAAATAAAATCCATGAAAAGCAGTACTGACTAGAACTTTCTTTCATGTTCAGAGACACTTAAATTACCAACTAGCCAGCTATCTTAATAACACAACTTTGTTAAAGAAAGCATTTTTTTTTATGTTTTTATGTATCTTTGTTCAACCATAAGTAAATAACATTGTGATGACAAGCTTAGTTTATTCTTTCTCTTTGGTAGGTACGGAGGGGGTAAGTTTGTACAAGAGTTGTGTCACATCATGGTACGGAGAAAGACTAATATCTTCTTTCTACTAGATTCCAATTTCAAAACAAAATTAAAACAAGATCTTCAGAGAGCTAAGTAGTTTAAATGAATACGTACAGAAGTAGATGTTTTCAGCAGCTCCCTCACAGCCATAGTTGCATAGCAAGATGCAGGCAGAGTAAAAGTCATTTTGAGAGCCATTTGGTTTTCCTGAGCTCTAGAACCATCCAAAGATTCCTCTGGTTGTGACACTGTTTTGATCTTAACTTCATCCATGCGTTCAGGTTCTGGACCTAGTTCCTGATCATTATTGTTCTCAGCTTCAATGTTCTTTGACTCGGTCCTAATACCAATTGAAAGTTCATCATCCTTGTCTTTTGCTGATCCCGAATCTCTGACCTGGCTACCCGTTACTGACTTGGAAATAATGTCCCAATCTGTTTCCGCAAGAGATTGTGTACCATCACAATACGCAATCAATTCCCTGCAAGGGTGATAGATAAGCCGACAGATAAATACAGATGTAAAGTTCAAGAAACATTTTAATGATCACATATAATTATTGAAGCTGGTAATGTGCAGGAGAAGCAATCCTACCATTCAAAGTCCTTTGGCTTTTGGAAAACACGTCTGTAACTACCAGTCATATTGGTTATTGAAAACTCCCTGCAGAAAGTAGTTATACCATTCAAAACAATTTACAGAATTAGTAAAACTGGATACCCACAGAACACAAGAAATGAAAACTGCATAGCAAGTTAAGTTGTATGCTCTCCCTTAACATGGTGAAAATGCTTCTGGGAGAGTGTAAGGCAAGTGCTTTTCACACTATTTAAATAACAAATTTATGATAAATGGAAGGAGGAAATGGTTGAAGAATATATCAAAGCCTAGAAAATTCATAATGGTATCCTGTTGGAACCATAAATAAAATGTGCTTCATATTGTAAAGTTCACCAGAGTCAGTATGTATGTGCATGAAAGTTTCCTACTCCAGTTTATTGCAATATAATATATATATATATATATATATATATATATATATATATATATATATATATATAGCTGGAAAAAAATGATGAGGCCTCAAAAGGCAGTTAAATAAGTTAAAAGAAGGCCTTCAGCTACTCACTTGACATTATGCATGCTCTCTGTCAATTTGACACCATCCTGTCGAGGAAGGAAGACTAAATTTCAGGAGCAAACAAGACTGAAGAATAATCAGGCATCAAAGCATCCTATAGTGGGTGTGCAGATAAATCTGTGCTCGGTGTTATCTGAATAGTTTGCATGTATTCTGATTTATCTTTTATATCCCATTATGTTTCTTATTTTAGTAGACAGCAATAGAATAATATGAAGAATTCATCAGCCGGTAGGGCTTGGTGTTATCTGACTAGATAAATCTGTGCAAGGAATTTAGGAGTGTAGGCCATTCTCTTCACTAGAGGATAATAACAGTTAATTAAATAACAAATCACAGGTTATTAGCAGGCAATAACTACAATTCTTTTACAAAGTGTTATACATGAGTTCAATAAACTTGCTGTATTAGCTATTGAAAAAATTATTTCAACGCACCTGGTGTATATTACAATGTAAATTGAATTTTTAAATTGATGCAAAGTGCTTTATAAGCCTTATTAAATAAACTCATCATTTTCGAAGTACTTTTTTTTAAGTATAGTTGATACACTTAAAAGTAGAAATGAGGGGTTTTAGTGAGGCACTGAACTATTATTAGATTTTTATAGAATGTTACTCCAGGGACTAGTGACTAGGGATGGCAATGTGGTGTGGGTTTGAGGTGCACCACACTGTACTTGCACCATGAGGGGCATAAGATGCAAGGTACATTATTTTTTGTACATAAGCAGGGTAAGAAAGGTTACCCACAGAAAAGGGAAATTATGATTTCTATCTCTATGAGAACTAATAAAAAATTCAACCAAACTTTGAGCTTTGAAGTTCCATGCTAATAATGTGGCATTAGGAAGGTAACGTGTACATGGCTCTGGGGCTGGCTGGGTTGCTTTTTTTCTTTTCTTTTTCTTCCAGTTTCCAAAGAAAGCTTTCACAGAAGGAACTTTTTATTGACTCCGTGTGTGTGTAGTATGTGTACTAGGCAATGCATGTTTTAAAAGAACATGGAGTATCAATCAGTCAATCACATCATAGAATGTATTGTGCTCTAGCATGTATCACTTCATTGGAGAAAACTGGAAAGGATGAAGGATGGTGAGGTAGGGTAGGAGGCAACAGAGGGGTAGGTATTTACAGAAACGGAAAAAGAAGGAAAAAAGAAAATAAGGGTATGTGATTGAATTGGGTCTTGAAATGCAGAAGGTAACATTGAAGTTGTGTAGTCATGAGCTAAATAGATATCTGAGAAGAGTAAATAGCAAGCAGGTAGAAGGCAATTCCAATGAGACTAGACCTTTTCCGCTAAGTCATGGTATATTTTTGCAATGTCATTAGATGGATAAATTACTCTTGACCTGCAATAAGAAAAGAATAAAAAAATCAAATGCAAGCTATGTAACATTACAACTTAAACAAAAAAACACAACCATGTAAAGGTTTAATTCTTTATCCTTACCCTGGCAATGGAAGGACAACATCATCAATTGTATAAGTTCCAGATCTTATATCTTCTTCATTTACAGCCTGTCCAAACATAGTTACTGTCTCATTATCTTGATTTAAATAAAATAGATAATGCTACTCAATAATATAAATGGATGTAAGATTATGGACAGACAGAGAACCCTTTTGAATTCAGTCACTAACACAATTATTCCCTTACCCCCTCAAAATATCTTTTGAATTCAGTCACTAACACAATTATTCCCTTACCCCCTCAAAATATCCCCCTTATATTAATAGTTTTTGATGATTCATGGTTTTATGGAAGTATTATAAAAACACACCCAAGTTCTTTAAAGAGTGCTTAGGTACTTGTAACGCATAGCAAGTACCCTTAATATTAGTTGAGCATTAGTGAGTTTATGTTGTTTCCTCTATATCATATTTTGGTTATTGGAAAGAGAATAAGGAAAACATATAGAAAATTGTAGACTCTAAGAGAGATCCCTTGAAATACCAAGTTTGATAGCATACATAAAGACCTACCATTGAATCACTATTCACTAGCCACTTGCAAACAGCATGTTTGATAGCACATAAGGAAAGACGGACGAACCACTATCACTAGCTACTTGACTTCTGTTCGGGTGGGGAAATTTTATTGGTTCAGTTAGTTTGGGCCTATCCATCAAAATAAAAGATATACTCTTTGTACACAGCATGAAAACTTCTTGAGAATCTCCAAAAAATACACATTCCTAGATGAATTTTGTAACTGCAACCAACTGGCCACTGCCCATCTTTTTTCTACCACATACCCATAAATCTTGGACCCTCAATATAAATCTGACCCTTTCAGAGAGCACAATATTAAATTCATTTAGGCATTGTTGAGATATTTGCTGCACAATAAGATAGAATTTCAGGCTATGCTAAATACCTTTTTACCAGAAGTGCTTTCATGGAAATACCAGTTACAGAAAGTTAAATGGTAGTAGTAATCTACCTTAACTGAAATATTTCTTTCTTCAGGAACATCAGTTTCAGAAATCTCATCCGGATTAATGCTATCATTTGTGTCATTGCCACTACCATCTTCACATTCCAGATAAGTTTCCTTCTCAGTACATGGTTCTTTGCAATACACCAAATCTCCCACTACAACTTGGTCAAATCCTACACAAGGGAAAATGAAAACAACCACAGAACAAACCAAGTCACTCCCAACTAGCCAGGTGACAAGAGATCAACATGATATATGAACACACAGAAAGTAGCTAGAAATGTAGTATAGACTAGTTGACCATGTACCATGCTTTTGCACTCTGAAGCTCGCTGCATGGTTCCATAGATAACTTTGATAACTATGTACATACCTGCGGTGCAGAATTAGTTCCCATTTAAATGCAAGGTCTTAATCAGAAGTTTTTCATACACTTAAAAATAAAATAACTATTGCACTTGATCTGAAAGACATTTTACTCTGCAGAAAACATTAGTTTTCGTGCAGCATGTCTTTTGTAATCTTTTAGAGTGTTGAAACCCTAGGCCCTTTCAGGAATGGGCCCATTAGGTTAATAGTTTATTCCTGTATAAATAGTAGATATTTGTAGTTTTGTACAGTTCTTTACACGGAATACGATGAATCCTTTTACTCTTCTACATCATTGAACATGGTATTAGAGCCTAAATCCTAAATAAACCCTTTCTTTCCGCCGCCGCCAGTCTACCGCGACTGTCTCCTTCGTTCCAACGCGTGCCTAGTGGTTTTTCTCCCAAACCAACACCACAGGCCCTCTTGGAACCTTGTCGCGAACCTAGACCTGAAGACCCGTCGCCATCCGCTGCCGCATGCGCCCTCAAGCGCCACCGCCGTCACCGGAGTTTCCCAATGTTTTCCGGCCAGATCTCCGATCAAGGTGCCGCTGCCTCCATTGGATTCATCTTGAGGAGACACACCTTGCAGTGTTTTCAGATCCCTCATCCCTACCGGTCAACTCCGCCGGCCACCGGCCGCCGTCGCCGACCAGACAGTGTTGTTTGACTTGTTTCTTCTCATGTTCATCGTTATAGCATCGTCTTCCACCACTTTTACCTCCTTCCCCTCCATTACCATGGATAAATTAGTTGGGAGTGAAAATTATGCATCTTGGGTTGCGTCTGTGAAACTTTGGTTCAAAGGCCAAGGTATGTCTTCCCATCTAGACACAAAAGTTGAGGACATTCAAGAAAATAAATGAGAATGGGAGAAGATGGATGCATTAGACATTCAATATGTTGGTAAACATTAGCAAAGTCTTAGCCTTTGAGACATTAGTCATAGGGGATAGATTACCAGAAATATAATCTAAGGCACCTGAGTCCAGAATCCAAGTACTTGGGGTACTAGTTTGAGAGAGACAAACCAGAGAAAAACTACTAGCATTTGGAGCAGGTGTGGAAGTACCAAGTCAAGATGCTTTAAACTTGAGGTATTCTTCACATTCAGTTGGGGCCATCTCAAATGAGGTAGAACTCGAACCCTGAGTCTGAGTCTCAGATCCAGTGGCTTGTACCACATTAACAGAGTGGACGCCTGCCATGCAACTTGAAGCAACGATCCTTGGTATATCCTAACTTGTGGCAATAGTCACAACGAGGTCAATTGCCACGACGAGTACCACCAACACCAGATGGTCCTTTATCTGCAACTCGAGATGCTAGTACAGACGAATCCCCTATAGGTTCAATTGAAGGAGCAGAGGTGACTCGAAGTAGTTTGGCAGAAGCTACAATCAAAGTGGATCCCGTAGAACTTGCCAGAATCTGATCTCAAACATGAACCAAGTTTGGGCGAAAGGTAACTAAGGTGAACACCATAAAGAACTTGTCACACTGCTTCACATGACCCTCTGCAGTCTTCTCATGAGGCATCAAATTGTTATATTCTTGATGTAATGCTTATATTCGGCCAAGGAATTCCGGTATATCCATATCAACTATACCACGAATGTTAAGCATATTGGAAATTAGAGAACAAAGGCGTTGAATATCATTAGTGTAAAGAGACTTTGCTTTGTTCAAACGTCATAGCACGTTTCATAAGCCATGTAAATGTTATGGAGTTTGGGATCAATCGACTGCCAAAGCATATTGCACAACAACACATCTACCTTCTCCCATTCGCCTTTATTCTCTTTAATGTCTTCAAGCTGTGTCCAGATGGGTAGACACACCTTCGCCTTTGAACCAGAGTTTCATGCCCAAGAGGCATAGTTTTCACCACCAATTAATTTATCCATGGTAATGGAAAGAAAAGAGGTGAAAGTTGTGGTAAACGAAGCCATAACAATATTCGGGAAAAGACAAAAAACTACCTCACGAGGTAGTCGGCAACGGCCGACGTCGATGGAGGATCCGAACACACTCCAAGGGGCGTCTCTTCAAGGTGAGTCCAAGGGAAGCAACAGGTGAGTCCAAGGGAAACAACGACACCTTGAACGGAGATCTGGCTGGAAAACCAAGAGGACTCCGATAGAGATGGCGACGCGTGAGAGCGCGTGCAGCGGAGATCACTGATAGGTCTTCAGGCGTGAGCTCTTGACGAGGTTTCAAGAGGTCCAATGGTTAAAGATTGGGAAGAAAACCACCAAACACATCGGAACAAAAAATCCACATACGTGGCGGAAGAAAGGGGATACTAGGGTTTTTTAAGATCCGATACCATGTTAGATGATGTGAAAGAATAAAAAGGATTCATCATATTGTCTCAATAGAACTGTACAGAGATCTACTACTTATACAAGTATTAACCTAATGGGCACATTCCCACGAGGAAGGCCTAGGGTTTCAACAAACTATTTATTAGTTTCTAAATAACTATTTAGTAGTTTCTTAATATCTAAACTATGTAATGTAATTATAATAAAATAAAACTTCTTAAATAATCATGGCCCCGGCATATATCATAATCCTGCTCACAAGCGCCGGTCCATGAAAAAGAGGTCCGGCGACAGTGGCAACGAGTACGATGGGGCTTGCTAGGTCAAGCTCACCAAAGACTTTAGAAGGGATAGGTAATACTAATTTGACAAAAAAAATCTTACCAATAGCAAGTAATTTGAGAAAAAATAAATAAATAAATAAAAACTGAATGAACAGTAACTTCTATTATTCATGTGGAAAAAAAATTCTTATCTTACTCTTTTGCTTTGATACCATGTTAAGAAAGATGAGAAGAATCTGTTGTATTACTCTTGTCTCAATGGAGAGGCAACACACACACTGACACACACACACACACACACACACATATATATATATATATATAACTCAAAAGACACAATCCTATAGATACAACTCTACAAACATCCTACAGACACAACTGTACAGACATACTATAGACACAACTTTTGTGTTCTAATTAGTGGTTATTTGACATCTATGAGTAAAAACAAAGGTGTTGCAACATCCTGTTCAAAAACTGAATATCAGGTAATGCCTTTGGAAGCATGTAGCTCATATGGTTGGAGCAGTGGGAGCACTTACTTCAAAACTCAAATATGGTGCAGCAACATAAATGAAACTGAAAGAAACAGTGTGCATTGCCTAAAATCCAGTCTTTCTTGAGATGACCGAGGGCATAGAAGTTGATAGTCTTAAAGATAAGATCTAATCTAGACGCATTGCTACAAGTTTTGTCAATTCAGCTAATCATCTAAGAGAAGAGATATTCTTATCAAATCTCTTAGGGATCCTTGCATTGCTGCATTTATTATACGTGTGACAAGCTTAGTATATAAGATTTATATGCTCAACTTAACGGGGAGAGTTAAAATATAGAAAACCCTAATGTAGCCCTCCTTTGTACAAGCCCATTGTATAGCCCAGTTACCATAAATACATTGTAAATATTACTATACAAGGAAACTTATGAAAGCCTAGACTTCCATAACCTTCTCTTCTCAATAATGTGTTTTCTCTTGTCTATAAATTTACAAGTTTAAAGGGCATGGCAGATTCTTTCTGCTTTGATGGATTCTCTTTTTGGTTGTCATGTTCTTTTTCAGTGTCAAGGTTAGAAAAATGACTTTTTAGCATTTCTCCCTTTGTCAAAAAATGATTTCCTAGCAAGTATTTTGGGAGAAAAACTATCAAAATGTGCAACTTACATCATTTGAACAGCTGGAGAAAAATAACAGTTCCAGTGGTAACTTACATCATTCGAAGGGTCCTAGGTATACCCTTAAGAGCTTGCAAGTAGTTCTGTTGGTTTTTCTTTAAGCATTGCAACTGGGAAATGTTGAAAGCAAATATTAAACACAGTTAAGAAAAAGATTCATCTTATGCATATGGACAGACTTGTGCTAATATTAGCTAGAGGAATCAAAATCGAAATATTTAGGATGTAGGTTACAACTTACAATAGCCCTTTCAGCTACCAAATGGCGAGGTAATTGCCTCAAAGTCCCATCAATATCACCACTCTCCTTGTAATATTCCCTTACTCTGCTTATGACATTCTTCTGTATTCAAGATTAAGCTGAGAAGAACATATCTTTATTGAAAAGTATTAAAGTGCATGCAGTAATTTACGACTAGCAGGAGATACATAATACAAAATAATAAATTGGAATTGGGGTAATTTTCTTAAGTTTTTGACTTTTTTCATTTTATGCTTTATTTTATTTGGTAAGGTCAAAGAGGAATGCCATATGATAGAAAATGTAGAAGGATATCCCCTTCTCTTGGATCAAGAATCATGTTGACAGCTGCTTTCCACTCTCCACGCAGTAGTGTAGCTCCAATGAGATGTGTTGGCACTGAACTGCTTCCAAATCGCTAAATCCATTTTCATATAATAACTAAGTTAGAAGTAATAATATTGAAACAATCATAGCACATTAGTAAACTTTAATTCAGTGTTCCAAAAATTGGAAATAACATAAATATTTAACAAGCCTTTTAAAACCAAAATGAGAAGTAATGAAAATGCAAATTTGGTACAACCAACAATAAATTCAATAAAAAGTCGAACTATTAACTGCTTGAATTTTCCTGATCTAAATTTAGACAATAAACGGATAATGAATATTATTTGAAGAATATGAATATCTAATCTTATAGGCCATCATATAATGCAATTATATGAATTAAGATGAATTAATAAACACACAACTCAAATTGATGAGAACACATTGGCAGTCAATGTTTCAACAAGGCAAGAATAGCAACAATCGTATTTCAAGATTACTGCTCTTCGCACTACATCAAGCAGACTAATATAGCAAATATGTCAAATGTACAAAAAAGTCCAAGCAAAACTATATCAGAGTTTAGGGGGGCGTTTGGTTCAGGTTATATTTGCTTGGTAATATAAGATTCTCATGTTTGGTTCAGGTTATGTAACTTTCCCAGGGAATGTCAGATAACCTCCGCATTAAGTTTTTAACTATTGGAAGGGAATGTGAGATACCCTCCAATTTCTTAGGTAATCTCACATTCTCTTGTCTTATTACTAAGGTTAGGCTTTGGATGTTTTAATCAATTTATCTTATTACCGTTTTCTTATTTACATATCTTAGTTTTAAACCAAACACAGGAATCTAACATTCCCAGCAATCTAACATTCCCTAAGGTAATCTAACATTCCGTGAACCAAACGCCCCCTAGATGTACAAAAGCATTTACAAAAGATAAAGATTCAACGTCACCGAAATTTGTATATCTTGTAAAAAAGATGCGACTACAACAAGACATTCAGTAGAGCCATGAAGAGATATGAGAAACTACTGGAAGATAAAGAAATCAGCATGCAGTAGGAACAGTTGCCCACTTGCCCCTCATTTTAAATAAGGGAGGGCTGGTACATATTGATTAAAAAGAGACAAGAACAAAAATCAGAGTACCTGCAGACCAAAGTAATTAATAAAACCATTCTTTCCCAGTGAAATAACAGAGGCTTTTATAATATCATCAGATTCTGCAACAACCCCCCTGCACATTGAGAGAACTTCAATTGTACACGCATATAATGATGTCATAGAATAAAGTAACTCTACGAGTATTTGACCATTCAATACCGTTCATGCAAAACCCATATATAGATCTCAATTGTACATCACATAAGATGTCATATAATGAAGCACATATACAAGGCAATATTTACATGAACATAGGAAACATACAGAAGTTCAATTTAACCATACCTCAATGTTATTGTGAATTGGTTCCCAAAAAGCTGCCCAAGCTGAAGCCCTTCGTTAACATGGCTGTCATTTCAATACCAGCTGTCACAGTTGCAGACATAAATGATCTTTTATTGACCACACCATAAAAATGACATTGATCTCACCAGAAGTCACCAACTTTGAGTCCAATCAACCTTTCATTGAGAGCTGCCAATTTGTTTGCCCGTTGCTTGAAAACAGTCACCTAAGTGCATGAAACAAACTATACAGATATAGATGCATATAACAAATATAAGCAAGGGGTTTTTATGCAGCAAGTAAATGAACAGGCTTGTTGTCCAACGCCATTTGTGATTCAGCACATCTAAGTTTTAATATACATCACTTTACGGCTTTATGCAACCAAAAATGTTGTTTAATAACACATACAAGTAGCAAGTAGTCTCCTATTAAGTATGCTGCTATTCTTCTCTCTCTCTATACTTTATTCTTTGTTTATTTGCAATAAAGAGTGGCTTGGGGGTAAGGACACATCTCATAAGGTGTGGAGCCTACCACTTGGAATCAGACAAGAAATGTCTTGTTTTTATAATTTAAAGTGGTCCAGTTGGTTGAACTTTAGCTGAAAAGGAGAATTTTAGTTTACTTTGTTGCCATCAATCACTTGAGGCGTTGCAATTTTCTATTAAGTCCAGGATACACAGAAACATATATAAATACATTTCTTATTCCAAGCTTAAATTAATATACATGGGCAAGGAAGTATTTACACCAACCAAAACAAAGACATAGCTTATAAACTCCTCCAACAATGGAGCATTTGAAAAATAGATCTGTGAACAATCATTCACTTTGAGAAGGCTTTGTAAACTAGTTTATTTGGTAATCATATAATTGATAAAAGGAAATGATGAGGCTAAGTAAAAAGGGGATGACTCCCACCTTTCCAATTCCTCCAAATTATGCAGAGAAGAGACAATGCAGCACTTATTGTTTGAGCTTTTCATACAATCATACCAACATGAAAGAAAACACAAATATTTCAGCCTTATGTTTCTCCTTCCCCCTTGGCAAAAACAGCCAACTTGTTATACCAAATGAAGGTTTGCCAACAACACAGTGTTAAGAACTCCTTGCTGTGCAGCACAAAATGGGATTTTTTTTCTTTTCATTATTGTTTGTTATCCTCATGTTAAAGTTACTTGTATTTACAGTTTTACACTGCTTCACTCTCTGGGCTGTCCAGCATAATCATGAATGTTAGGGTAGAGATTCATATGGACAACAAAAACATAATGGTTCTGCTGACTGGAAACAAAACAGGAGCTAAAATATTACCCTTTGAGTTGAAATGGAGCGCTTATCTTTCGTACCAGCAAATCCAAAGGACCTAGGCTGCCATGCATAATATCATTGAACTTCACACAGTAATAAGGAATAGAAAAAGGCCAACCAAATAAACACAATTGCTCACAACATATATGACAAGATAAAAACATCGTAGAATTTAATCCTTTTCTACATTCTTTGTAAGTTCAGTACATGAGGCATAGGAAAAGCTTGCAAATGAAAGATATAAGAGTAAAACATGGTAAATGCATGGCAAATACCTGAACGCCAAGCATCTTGGAAATAAGACCCAGAGCCTCCTGAGTATCCTTGTTCTCCTTGTAAAGATGAAATCTGAAAATTTATCATCATGATTCCACTTAAAACGACATGCTTTAAGTTCGGTGAAAGAATTATGTTCTGCTGGAGTGCAGGGCAAGCCAATATTTAAACACCCTCTAGCCTACTTGATTTCATTGTCATTGGTTTAACCTTGAGCATTTTCTGATTGAATCAGATTCAATTGTAATATGTGTAACTAGCAAGGAAAAAAAATGGTGAAATCTTCAATGAGATCTGGTATTCTGGTAGCCCACTTTATTATGCGTATCTCACTATCTCGGAAATTGTTCTAGTTTTTTTTTTAATTCACATCCTTCTGCCCCCATTAGATCATAGTAATCTTCACAGATACTGAGTTTAAATAAATTAACTCATCCAGCCACCAATTAATTCATAACTATAACTAGTGAGCAGTGGAAATTTTGGCAAAAAAAGCTTTTCAGTTTCTTGGCCGTTATGGCACATCATAAAACTAAAATCATAAGGAAGAAGATTAATCATTCAATTTGGGGACCCAGGGCTTGGTAATGAATTAAAATCACAGATAGTAAAGGGTTTCAGAGTGAATTAAACTTAATTATTCCATGTGAAAATCCATCTTAAGAGGAAAACATAGGATAAGCAGTATGAAATACGGAGAGAACTTTACCTCAGAAACTTGCCAAGATCTTGTGGCCAATGATCTGAACCTCTACTATCATAGGGTTTATCACCACGATCTTTCCTTTTCCTGGAGTTTCTACCCCTTCCACTATTTCTGCCAACATTCAATCTAACACGAACACACTTTGAGGAGTCCTCTGGTCCATCAACAGTGTCCGTAACAAGCAATTTCAACTTTTCCTTGAAAAAATTATGAATATCCTGAAATGCAATCATATATTAGTAATGTATGCATGCAAAATGAAACAGGCATAAAAGAAATGAAAACAACGCAACAGATTGATCAAAACTAACCGTTCGATGGGATTTATTAGAGCTTGGTGAAAGAGTTATGTATTCATCACTGACATCAACACCGGAACTAATTTTGTCTATAAAATCTTTAAGCTTGTCAGCATCAGAATCTCCAGCAAGAGATCTGAAAGATTCTACTTCAGTTGCATAACTTTTATCAGGCTGATCAGTTACCTTTACCTCCTTTTCTTCAAGGATCTGGGAAGCATAAAGTTACAGCTTTTGCTATCAGGTAATTCACAGATGATGAAATAAATCATTTAGTTTTCATTATATACAACAAAAACACAGATCATGTAAAATCTCACCTCAAGTGGAGCATCCAATGAAGTTAAATGAACAACATTGCCATCCAAATCAACTTCATTTACAATGAAGTCCGAATACCTGCAAGCAAAATTAAAAGAAACATACAAACAAGGGTAAAGTATATCTTTCACTTTTGCAAATACTCAAATTCCATTTACAAATACATAAAGAATGTGTAAAGGAAATCAGTATGGTTGAATGAAGCTGTACAAACAAGGTGAAAGGCAATATCCCATTTCCAGCAACCAAAGCAACTAAAAATCAGTTGAAAATACTAGAGTAAGAACAAAAAAGCTGCCCATGGGCAGGAAAACAAAATTGGAATATTGGAAGTCTTCATCCGGATTTCCAGAACAGAACACCAAATAGTAAATAACTCATCAAAAAATCAATAAATAGATTAATCTTTTATCAATTATACTACCAGAAGTTCAAAGGCAAATATTCAATTATTACACCCTCTACAGGAGATTCAGCTTGACTCTTAATTTTACACAGATAACATGAATCATTCACCTGCAACCAGCCTTTAGCCTTATCAATGCAAGTATAGAAATATATACAATACAAACGCACATGAACATCTATATAGCCTTATCAGAGATATTTGCAGAGAAATATACCTTTGTTTGAGGATTCCGCGGAAGCCAGGAAGGTGAGAAATGTAGCAGGAAATACCTACATCCGACTCGTCCATAGGATTCATGGCTTCTGCTGAGAATGCTGCTGATGGAGAAGAGTAGTTGTAGGGTTTTAGGGCTGACAAGCGGTTTCTTTTGCAGGGTTTTACAATCTGCTGAATTCGCGTCAGTCTACGGCATAAGACTTTCAGCATTAGACTGACTGATTGTATTTTTAGCTTTTTACCCGGTTAAATTTGGCAAATTATATCATGGACCATTGAATCATGTCTATCTAGTATCTTGCATTGTGGAATTTGATCTAAAATAATTTTCAAATTATGTGTTTGTAGTTGATTTTTTTTGTACATATAATTAACATAAATCAATTGAAGGGTAACATTTGTGTTATACCGTCTTACGTGTCTCCGTCCGTGATGCGGGTTGAGTCTTTGACCTCATTAATCAAATATCTGACCCGTTTCACGAATTGAGACTTGTGAGACGGTCTCACACAAATTTTTGCCTAAATTAAAAACACATAACAAGTTGACTACAAACACATAAATTAATAACTACAGATACGTAAATTATTAATTGCATAAACAAAATATGTTAACGGCGGACACATAATTTGAAGATATTATGTGTCTGTAGTTAACATATTATGTACTTACAGTTAACAGTTTATGTGTTTGTAATTACTATTTTATTTATCTATAGTGAACATGTTACGTTCTTTAATTTATTTATAGGTACATAAAATGTCAACTGCAAGTACATAAAATATTACACATAATTTTTGGACAAAGGACCACAATACAAGATGGACATTGGTCCATAGTACCACGATTGATTAAATTTTGGGCAAAATAAAAGAGGTTGTTTTTTTGAATGCTACTAGCTCTATTACTAATAACGCCTCCACTAAGACTTGAACTCACAATCTTCCAAATGGAAATCCAACCTGGGTACCATTGGACCACATAGTCCTGGTAATAAAAGAGGTTGTTAGCTTTATTCAAATTCAATTCAGTATTTTAAAGACTTTTATAAATTTAAAATGTGTTTAAATATTTCAAACTTTTAGATATTTTTAAAAAGTTAAGTGATATTTGATTTAGACTTTTAACTTATATCTAATTAAAAGTCACGTAATATTCGATTAAAACGTTTAAAGTTTTTTAAAATGTAATATTCGATTTTCAAAGTTTTTTATCATGATATTAGAATGTACCATGTATGATAGCACTTTAGACTCACTCTTGGTACACCATTCCAAATGTCGTTGTAAAACATGACAAATACAACAACATGTGGACTTTAACTTTGTTGGACTCTTGTGCATGGGGTTATGCATCCGAAGGTTCGGACGGATCGGATGGGTCAGATATGGGAACTACACACCCATTCGAATATCGCATTAGTCATTACATAGATTATTTCTCTATCCATTTATTTTTAAGGGTTCAACTCATCAGATTTTTCAAGATTGAATTACGGACGATTTTGTTTGGGTTTCGGATTAAATCGAATTTAAAAAAAAAAAAAAAAAAAAAAAAAAAAAAAAAAAAAACCTACAAATTAAGTACTAAATAAGTAAATCAGCAAAAACTTTTAGGGGGCGTTTGGTTCAGGTTATATAACATAACCAAGGGAATGTGACATTCCAAAGCTCACATTCCGGTGTTTGGTTCATATTATCTTAGGGAATCTAACATTCCCAAGGAATGTCACATTCCCTCCACATAGGATTTTGAAGGGAATGTGATTCCCTTCAAAATCTTAGGTAATGTAAGATAACCTTGGTTATGTTAGTTTATTTTATATATATAATTAATTATTTTTGTAATTATATATTTTTTTATTTTTATTATGTTATGTTAGCATATAAAATAATTTTATTTCTCAAGTTCAAGATTTTAGTTAATAGTTTAAAATCATGTAATTATATATGATACCGTTATCTTATTTATTTATTTTAATTTTTAAATTTATTAAAATATATGAAAATATGTTAAGGATATTATAGTGTGTATAAAAGATAACCCCAAACCAAACATGATTATATTACATACCCAAATTTTAACCAAACACAGGAATCTAACATTCCCAGCAATCTAACATTCCCTAAAGTAATCTGACATTCCGTGAACCAAACGACCCCTTACGGTTTAAGTAAAGCTAAGTAGTAACTACTAACTACTACTATGTAGTTAACAACTTACAACTTAACTTAAAAATTAAAAGTTAAAACTAACAACTTATATAAACTTTACAACTTACAACTGGTGACTGAACATACTACAAAAATTTAATTACATTTTACAAATTCACAAAAGATAGTTGAGTAGTTAAGTAGTTCAGTTGTTCAGGCATCATTCAAAAACTAAGTACAACAGCAAGCCAGCAAGCCAGCAACTCAGGCAATAGGCTATCAGCATTCATCATCCTCATGCATAAGTTGCAAAGTGCAAACTTAAAACAGAGTTAAATAACATTAAAAAAATAAAAAATAAATAAAAAATAAAAGTTAAAAGAATCACAGTTTAACATTTTTGCTCATAAATTAAAGGGAAAAGGGTCAAATAGACCCTCAAACTATTGCTCAAAAGTCAATTAGGCCATCCAACTTTTTAAAGAGGCAATTACACCCCTGAACAATGTATTGTGATGCAATGAAGCCCAAATACAGGTAAATGACCTTCTATCTCAGGTCATTACAAATCCGATGACATTCCGACATATTTTCAGGCGAAAAAAGTGACCGGCGACCGGTCGCCGGTCACGGAAATCCCTCCCGAAGAAGGCCACCCGCCGGAGAAGGCAACCCAAACCTGGGTTGCCTTCTCCGGTTGAGAAGGCCACAACAGTGGTAGCCTTCTCGCCGGAGAAGGCCACCACACTGGTGGCCTTCTCGACTGGAGGAGGCAACCCAGATCTGGGTTGCCTTCTCCGGTCGAGAAGGCAACCAGTTGGTGGCCTTCTCGACCGGAGAAGGCATCCAGATCTGGGTTGCCTCCTCCAGTCGAGAAGGCCACCACTGGTGGCCTTCTCCGGCGTGTGGTGGCCTTCTCCGGTGGGTGGCCTTCTCCGGGAGGGGTTTCCGTGACCGGCGACCGTCGTCGGTCACTTTTTTGCCTGAAAATATGTCGAAATATCGCCGGATTTGTAATGACCTGGGATAGCAGGTCATTTACCTGTATTTGGGCTTCATTGCATCAAAATACATTGTTTAGGGGTGTAATTGCCTCTTAAAAAAGTTGGAGGGCCTAATTGACTTTTGAGCAATAGTTTGAGGGTCTATTTGACCCTTTTCCCTAAATTAAAATAGGCTCAGATTGCTGTGTTTTCATATCAAATTAAGATTTGGGAAAAATTACTTCTAAAGTTTTGGAACAAGACTCAAAACTTGAGCAACATACCAACCCAAAGTCCTTTGATTCAGACAAAGCTGGAAGCATCATCATAGCCCAAAGAAAATTAGTAGTTAAACGAGTAGGGTAGAATCATAATACCATATCAGATTAGCCTAACATATGCAAACAAGATTCATAAATGAATCAAGGCAAAATGCTACAACACATACTGAACTAATATTGTTATACATATAACCTGCTGTTGACTAAAGTGGAAGGGACCAAGGATTCAATGCAGTAACAAGTTAATTGTTGCAAAGTCAATGAAGCCATTGTCATGTACTTCTAAAATTCACTTAGATAATTGAATTCATAAGTCATAACTCACAACAGATTATAATAATCTAATATTCTAAGATAACATAATAAGTAATAACAGCTAAATATAAAATTGAGAGCAGAATGAATGAACATTACTGCAATGGTTGGTAGGAAAGTTCCAGCACTCTTAACTCCAGTTGGCAACTCTGCAAATAAAAAACATATAAATTAAAACAGTAAAATAGAGTATTATTTAAAAGATAAAATTTCAATTTTGGTCACATGATTATAGGGGCTTTGTTAATTTCAGCACCTAACTATCAAAAGTGTTAATTTAGTACCTTGAGTATGTAATTTTGGTCACTCCAGCCAAATTTGGCTGAAAGATTTAATCCAACATTTAGTCTATAATCTGAGGGGCAAAATGGTATTTGGATTAAACGTGTATTTACCTTATTATCCTTGGAGAAGATGGAGGTTTCACGGTCAAAGTCACGGAAGACGAAATCGGGCAAAAATTGGAAAGTTGAGGACTGAATTGGTAAGGATGATAGTCGAAGACCAAATCGGTAGTTTTGCAATAGTCGGAGGACCAAATTGGTCATTAACTCTTAATTATATTCACTACATTGTCAATTGTCTTCTTTTTACACTATCTTGTAATTAAATATCAAAGTTATAATACAAAATATATTATATATTTATTTACAAAGTATTTTATATAAATATAATAAATATTAATATTTTGTTTATCAATACTTTCACATGATAATCTACAACACACATCTTACAACACATGAAACATGTAGGGGGGAAAACTATCACTGCCAAATATCAACAGACGCTTGCAAGATAAAATCTCAGTCATATACACAACAAGGCAAATATAAAATTTCTTATACCATTATCTCATTGCATGACGTTGCTCTCTATGCTACCACCAGTAGCACAATTTCACATGACACACTACAAAAAAAAAAAAAAAAAAAAAAAGGACAAATACTGAAAATGAAGACAATAACAATGCTACCAACAAGAGAATTAAGAAGACTTTTTTAAAAAATTTAAACCAAAAGTATAATATATTTAAACTATCGTTTTAAAACTAAGTATTGAGTAGCGTTATTACAAAGTTGCAAATATTTATTTTAGTGACAATTATAATCAATCTCTCATATATTATCTTGCATTTATATCTTAATTGCCTATGCATGAACATCTCATATATAATCTTGCATTGATATACTTTGAATTTTGAAGTACTTATTTAAAAATAATCATTGGCATTATCTCATTCGCGCGTAAAAAACTAGTTATAAAAATAAAAATTAAAAGCTTACACCTTGTGCTCAGATGACGGCCTTGTTTGGTAAAAAATTGGCCTATAGACCAATTTTTGCTTATTTGACCACTATTAATTATTTGATTTAGTTAAAATATCAATATAAATGTTTGGTTAATTAGCTTTTTGCAACTCCAAAAGGCTAAAATTCAAAAAGCTACTCCAAGCAACTTTTTCAATTAGCTCTTTGAGAAAAGAAATTATACCAAACAACTATAAGCTATTAGCTAACAGCTAATTTTCCAAACACTTTTCTACAATCAGCTAATGTTATCAACTATTTGTACCCTCTAATTAGCACAATCAGCTAACAATTAACAGCTATCAGCTATCAGCTAACCGTCATTTTACCAAACAGGGCCGACATGTAGTAACTTCTCCCATGTGGGAGGTAATGGGATCGAGCCTCAGTAGAGGCGTTGATGAATAGGTTAAATTGATAAGTATGTTTGAACAGATACTACAATGTAATAGAGTCAGTAGCATTAAAAAATAAATAAACAAAGAATTTGAATAAAATTCCTTAATTTGGCATAACCATGTGATGTATAACACAAAATTAGAATAATTTTATGTGTACTCTCATTTTCTATGTCATGATGATTGTTTCTCCAATAAAAATTAAACACTTACATGAGAGTAATATTCCATGGAGTACATCGAATCTATCATTTATTGGCATGATGATGTGATATATAACCCAAAAAAAAAAAAATGTAATTATCGTGATTAGATGTATAATAAAATTCATTGATTTTATTTAAATTCATGACTTGCAATGTAAAACATAAATGACAATTGTATTGTATGAAATCACATTCACACAACTTGCAATATCTGTTCATAACTACTTTCTTAACTTATAAACACAAAGAATCAATGCCACCTCTATTAATCACCGAAATTTTTTTGGTTGAATAAACATGCCCGCCCTTAAACTTGTTAGCATACTCCTCCACATGCTAGGAATATATGCATGAAGGAAAGTCCCTTATGAAGTGCATTGTGTATACATCAAGATGTGAATACTCAATAATGTAAATATATGCATGAAGGAAAGTCCCTTATGAAGTGCATTGTGTATACATCAAGATGTGAATACTCAATAATGTAAATTGTCTTATATATCTTAATACGTTATTTACAGTGAATGGTTTTACATTACAATATGACAAACTTATTACATTGTGAAGTGTGTTATATTTCGGAAAGTATAATAAAGCATACACAGATACCTTTTGATCATGAAACACACATTCTTTTCACTTGATGATTTCTCCACCTCTTCTCTTAGGAATTTCATACGTATATCGCGACCCAGAATGTACAATGGAGCCATGGGTCTGTGAAATAATGAAGTATCAAAAGTTTTTTTTGAGTTGATTAGCTTCAAGAATTGATCGAAGAAAATAAGTGTACAGACATACGAGAACTATAAATGGAAGATATATATATAGGAGTCTACAAACGTTTGGGAATCCTGTATTCGACGCTATATTTCCCATGGTGTGCAAAGGAAACTCCAAAAGTCGCTATGCTTGCCATAGTAATAAATTTTACCATAATTAAGCATTAAAAATCTAAAGTATAAATACGGAAGATTGTTTAAACTTCCAAGTTCCAAAGACGGCTACAACTGGAATCATGTATATACACACTAATACAACACCGTTTTTTTTTAGCGGGAAGTTTTGGCTCTATTGTGGATCCCTATACGTGTGACTTTTTTATATAGTAAGATAAGATAAGATACATAATTTGACAAATAAAATATCGTAGGACAAATCCTTGATGTCTTCCCAACATCTTAAAAATGCATAATGTGATATTGTGATATGCTTCATTTTCATATTAAAATTGCTTTCAAACATTCACTTTTAAACGTGTTATTACTCATTAAGACTATGTGGTCTAATGATACTCAGGTTGGATTTTTATTTGGAAGGTTGTGAGTTTGAGCCTCAGTGAAAGCGTTATTGGTTCTTTGTATTTCAGTAGGTATACTTGTAATTCTTAACTATGTAGCGATTTTAGCATAAACGACAATTGTATTGTATAAAATCACATTCGCACAAATTGTAAAAAATGTCTCTCTATAATATGTCAATTATCAATGTCACCCCTGAATTATGAGTGGTGTAAATGTTGCCCCTCAATTATCAAAACGGTGCACATATAGCCCCTCCGTAACGGACATGTGGTACCCCGTTAGTGTACGACACCGTTAAGTTGGAGTAAATATGTAATTTAGATGTTTTTTCCCTCATTCAATTCGAAGTACCGGCGATAGACAGCGATGGGGAACCACAGGTCCGTTACGGGAGGGGTTATATGTGCACCATCTTAACAATTTTCAGGGGTAATATTGATAATTGACATATTATGGAGGGACTTTTTTTACAATTTTCCCATTTTTAAACATATCATTTTGGGTTAATAATCACGGGGTGATCGATTAACAAAAAGCCAATTAAGCAACTTAAATTAACAAGAGACTCAATTAACATTCATGAAACTATGAAAGCACTAGCTAGCATGAATCATGGGCCACTGATATATATAATACATATTGGCAAATAAAATCCCATTATTAATCCTTACATGGACAAATGGACACTAACACAGCCCTTATTAATCCCTCTTGACTCGGATCGTTATGCTGTCAGCACGTGCTCACCTTACAAGGTAGACACAGTTCTATATTCATAATTTTTATATTGTAAAATGTAGATTTATAATTTCTATATTGTAGAATGTAGATTCATAAAATTTATACATTAGATTCATAATTTCTAAACCGTAGATTCATAATTTAAATACAATAGATTCATAATTTCTATACAAGTAGATTCATAATTTCTATACTGCAGATTCATAATATCTGTACTGTAGATTCATAATTTATGTACTGTAAATTCATAATTTCTAAACTGTATAGTTATCAAATTATGAACATATAGTTTTCTAATTTGTGAAAACAGAGTTCAACAATTGGATTCTAAAGTATACATTTTATGGATCTACAGTATAGAAATTATGGATCTACAGTATAGAAATTATGAATATGGAACCGTGTCCACCTTGTAAGGTGGACACGTACTCACAGCATAATTTGCCTCTTGGCTCTCTAATGACTTAGAGGTCATTAATTTTGAGACATTAATATTCTCGGACCATATTTTGAATCCCCTCGAATATTTTACTAATAAATCTACTCCCTTTAAGTATTTTAATATGTGGGTAGTTCATCCCAATTTTCATTCTATTGTCAGGGGAGTTTTGGAGCAGTCCCATTATATTATAACCAATTAAGTAAAACTCCATTTAATTTGCATGAAACTTAAAGCTCTCAAACAACCCCTGTGAAATCTGAATGCAAAGAATAATTACACGAAATACATTTAGCATCATGCTTCTTGTATGGTGTATCTACCTAATTTTTGCCTATTTAAAGGCTCAACAAATTCATCTACATCTTCACAGCCAACGTAACAAGAAAGAAAGAAAGAAAGAAAGAAAAAAAAAAGAATATATAAGCTTACTATCAATATTACAAGAAAGAGAAAGATAAAGCTGAGACCTTGATTGATATATATATATATATATATATATATATATATATATATATATATATATAAACCTCATTCAATTAACCGAATGTATCTGAACAACCTCGTTTGGTTCACGGAATGTTAGATTACCTTAGGGAATGTTAGATTACCTTAGGGAATGTTAGATTGCTGGGAATGTTAGATTACTGGGAATGTTAAATTCCTGTGTTTGGTTAAGACTGAGGTATATAATATAATTATGTTTGGTTTAGGGTTATCTTTATCTTTATATATATATATATATATATATATATATATATATATATATATATATATATATATATATAAAAGCTAACATAAAATATATATTTTTAAATAATTAGAATGAAAATAGCAAAATTTATAAATATCCAAGGTTATCTCACATTACCTAAGAAAAGGAAGGGAATCACATTCCCTTCAAAATCCTATGTGGAGGGAATGTTCCATTCCCTGGGAATGTTCCATTCCCTGGGAATGTTATATTCCCTCAGATAGTATGAACCAAACATAGGAATCTAAGCTCAGGAATGTCATATTCCCATGGTTATGTCATATTCCCATGGTTAAGTCTTTGTCGACCAGGTAAAATAGCAGACTTTGATTATCGGCAAAACTAAACTCTATAACAGCACCACCAGTTTTAGTTCGACTAAATTCATAGTGTTTCTGAATGAATTGACGATCCTTTTTAATTAAATTATAGAAAAATTTACAAACACATTTCAACCGCATAAGAGATCTTACAGACAATCTGGCCAAAATGTTAATCAGCAGATCGCTTGGTAATTCGCAATTTCCCATTTCCGATTGATATTCCTTGATGAAAAATTTGAAAAGTTGAAATGATTATTCAATCATCAAAACCTCGTATAAAGACGATAAAGGTGGAGATTGATGTCGAAAACAACGAAATTTTGAGATGAAAGAAATTGGAAAAATATATGGATAAAATATATAAGACTTTGCATTAATGAATGTTGCTATTGTCTCTCCCCTTTCAATTCCCATGGGATCTATTTATACATGTTTTGGACCTATAACCTTACAAGGAATAAGAATCCTACACTGTCTCATATTAGGTGTCTTTGTTACATTAGATATAATAAGACCTAATTCTATTATACTAGGAATAATGAGTTCAATCCTTATCAAACTTAATTGCTCTGTATAGTGTATCTTTCTTAAACTTCTTTGATCCAATTGCTTTTTTAATCGGTCTATATGGCCCAGACCTAGTGTACTATCCATAGCGGTAAAATTTAAAAAGAAGATATAAAAGATGGTCAGGTCGTCTGGAAAAGGAGAGGAGATAGCAGCTGCGTGCTTGCGTCTTTAATTAATTAAAAATGCATTGTTAAATGATTAAATGATATGTTAAAAGGACAATTTGCAGGTTGTGTTTTTGCGATAATTCCGTTTTGAAGATGTGATGTTGTCAAATAATGTATTTAAATTTCAAATATTATAATTAGATTTAGAGACATAATAAAACTATGCTGTGATAAGTTTTGATAATTTTTTTTTTTCAAAAAAAAAAGTTTTGATATTTTTAAAAAAATTATATTCAAAGGTTAAGTATAACATAGACTAATTTTGGCATTGATTCAAGGGTGAAATTAGTTGAAAAATTGAATTTTTTGTTATAAAGATTAGTGGAAGGATGAAACGAAAGTATACATCATTGCTCGATAAAGTGCAACTAAAATGAGTCCAAAATGATACTAATCAACAATCATTGAACATTATATCATTCGTGCATTGCGCATAAAAAAATAGTAATAATGAGAAAAGATAATAGAAGTTATGACGGTAGCGATATTTTTGTTCAAAAAATTGTATAGTACAACTATTACGTCATAATGTATTAAAAAATGGAAATCAATTAGGGGTATAGGTTCTGTTTGACAGAGTTTATTTAGGAGCTTATAGCTTATTTTAAGCTACTAATAAGCTATAAGCCATGTTTGGTAATGTTTCAAAAATAAGCTAGTAGCTTAAAATAAGAGCTTATTTTGGAACGCTACATTAACCACCATTATTATTATTATTATTATTATTATTATTATTATTATTATTATTATTATTATTATTATTATTATTATTATGAAGGAGATTCACAACAATATTGCTACTTCTTTATGGTATGCTAGATCATGATTATGCTAATAATTTTATTTTAAAATGTTAATTTTTTTTTGAAGACAAAATGTTAAATTTTAATATGTAAACAAACTAATTTAAATTTTATGAAGATGTCCTTTTTTACATTTATCAACTTATCAAAAAGCTAATTTTACCAAACACTTTTAAGCATAACAACTAGCTTAACAACTCTTTAGTTTTCAGCTTTCAACTCCTTTTAAGTTTTCAACTAAGTTTGCCAAACATAGCCATAACCTCAGACTTATTATGATTTTAGATATATTTAAATACATTTAAAACACTCATACATTTTAAGTCATATCATGTATATATGATTATTCATGGTCCGTTTCTGTTTGACAGAGCTTATAGTTTATTTTAATCTACTAATAAGTTATGAGCTTTGTTTGGTAATGTTTTCAAAATAAGCTAGTAGCATAAAATAAGAGCTTATTTTGAAACGCAACTTAATATAGTCTTTAAAAAATAAGCTAATAGCTTTCTACTTTTTTTTTTTCCCGATCTTTATTCTTATTATTTTAAATAAATGACATCATTAACCCTCCCAATTAAACCCTTTTGACATTTTTTCTTCTCGTGTATTTTTATTCATGCTCTCTTCCGCAGCTATT